CCATATGTAAAAATCACCTCAAGCTCTTGTCTGGGTCTAGTCGATTTGCTTCCCTACCGTTATCGGAATGGACTTGTCTGAACTACATTGTCGTGCTGTGTTCTCCAATCTCCAAAACCACAACGTGCGCAGTCGGCTTGCCAAGTTACCCCCAACGCAAGTCACAGAAAGTTTGACACAGTCCGCTAAGATACAGGCAATGGAAAGTTACACCTCCACATGTCAAGGACTCATCGCAAAAAGCAACACCCTGGGCTGTCAGCGCCTTCAGATCCGCATCGTTCCGATCCAAACAACTCAACATCGACTGTGCCCTCGCACACTGGCTGCTGCTGGCGGAAATACAGGCAGGACGCGAAAGCCATGTCTGGTGGTCATTGCTCACACAGTTTGGAAGGTGAATGGGCATGCATGTTGCCGCTACTAAACATGAAACAGAGCCAGGCGAAGGACCCAACCACATGCGGTTGTGAATGCCTCGCTGAGGGGTACCGAGGCGGGCTGGGCGGCTCGCCTGCGACTTCCTCACCACTTACGATCCTGAAGCTAGAAACTTGCATTCGGTCGGGCCTGTCCCCCGGCAGGGGGATCTTGGACGAAAGAATACAAACGGTCAAACAATCCCAAAAAATAGTCACCAACATTCACATAATCGTCCCCTGGCTGTTTTTTGATACTATTCTTAAAAATTCCTCCTGTAGAGGGACAAGCCCGACTTGAAACTTGCAACGTGCTCACGGATGGAGGGCGGGTCATTTTCAAAATGTGGCTCTCGCCTCAGCGCCGCGCACATTCAGCTTCAGAGTTTGCAGAAGCTTCCCGGATGGAGGGCGGCTCGTGTTCATCATGTGGCTCTCGCCCCAGCGCCGCACACACTCGCTTTGAAAGTTCACTAGGGTTTCACGGATGGAAGGCGGTTCCTCTTCAGAATGCGGTTCTCGCCCTAGCGCCACGCATATTCGGTTTTGAAAATTCACAACAGTGTGAAGGGTTCTTGTGGCTGACGCCCCAGAAACGGTGTTCGGGCACGATGTATGGCAGTCCCGCTGATTCGGGGTGTTTCGTCCCAGACATTGTGTTCTGCACGATTTAGGATCGTCAAGTCGCAGCAGTAATGTTGACCCGCGGCGATGAAGTCCCAGGAACGGTGATTTGGCACGGTTGGAGATTTTCAGAGGGCTGTCTTCCAACGTGCTTCTTCCCGCAGTGGATATAGACCCTTGCATGAGCCTATGAAGATGGAACTTGGAGGGAGGGATTATTGCAACATGGTTGACGAGTCTTGTGGTTCCACTGGTCCTCCTCCTCCTCCTCCGCCTCCTCCTCATCCTCCCCATCCCCCTCCTCCAGCTCCTCCTTCCTTCCTTCCTGCCTGCCTTCCTTCCTGCCTCCCTTCCTTCTTCATCCCCCTCCTTCCCTCCTTTCTCCTTCCTCCTCCTCCTTCCTTCCTTCCTTCCTCCTTCCTCCGTACTCGTTCCTCCTTCCTCCTTCCTCCTCCTCCTTCCTCCTTCCTCCTCCTTCCTCCTTCCTCCTTCCTCCGACCTCCTTCCTCCCTCCTCCCTCCTCCCTCCTCCCGCCTCCCTCCCTCCCTTCCTCCTTCCTCCCCACCTCCCTCCTCCCTCCTCCCTCCTCCCTCCTCCCTCTTCCCTCCTCCCTCCTCCCTCCTCCCTCCTCCCAGGTCCCTCCTCTCTCCTCCCTCCCTCCCTCCCTCCTCCCTCCTCCCTCCTCCCTCCTCCCCTCCTCCCTCCCTCCCTCCCTCCTCCCTCCCCCCCTCCCTTCCTCCTTCCCTCCCTTCCCCTCCTCCCTCCATCCATTCTCTCCTCCTCCTCCTCCTCCTCCTCTCCTCCTCCTCCTCCTCCCCTCCCTCCCTCCTCCTCATCATCATCATCATCATCACCATCTCATCATCATCATCATCATCATCATCATCATCATCATCATCATCATCATCATCATCGCCCCCCCTCCCCTCCTCCCCCTCCCCCTCCTCATCCGTTTCCTCGCCTCCTGCTCCCCCCCCCTCCCTCCCCCCCTCCCTTCCTCCTTCCCTCCCTTCCTCCTCCCTCCCTCCATCCATCTCTCTCCTCCTCCTCCTCCTCCTCCTCCTTCCTCCTCCTCCTCCTTCTCCCCCTCCTCCTCCTCCTCCTCCTCCTCCTCCTCCTCCTCCTCCACCTCCCTCCTCCTCCTCCTCCCTCCTCCTCCTCCTCCTCCTCCTCCTCCTTCCTCCTCCTCCTCCTCCTCCTCCTCCTCCTCCTCCTCCTCCTCCTCCTCCTCCTCCTCCTCCTCCTCTCCTCTCCTCCTCCTCCTCCTCCTCCTCCTCCTCCTCCTCCCCCTCCTCTTCCTCATCCTCTTCCTCCTCCTTCCTCCTCCGCATCCTCTTGGGCCCGGGCGGCCCCCTGGACGTCCTTCGAGTCCAGCAGCCGGCGCACCTGCACCGGGGCCTGCATCTGCAGCAGCCGGAAGACGCAGCAGAACATCGCGGAGGCCTCCGTGGACGAGCCTCGCGCCGCGGATGCCAGGAGCCCCCAGGCGTTGCTAGGTCGGGCATGTCCTCCCGCAGGCGGGTTTTAGACGAAACTTTACCATGTAAAAAACGGTCAGATCTATATGTATATATATATATATATATATATATATATACACACAGCCCCCCTGGGACCCCATCTCAAGAGAAAAAAGTAAAGGACTTAGCGGGAGAGAAAGAGAAAATGATATATATATATATATAGAGAGAGAGAGAGAGAGAGAGAGAGAGAGAGAGAGAGAGAGAGAGAAAATGAGAGAGGGGGGGGGAGAGCGAGAGAGAGAGAGAGAGAACAAAAGAGAGAGAGAGAGAGAGAGAGAAAAAACAAAGAAAAAAACATAGAGAGAGAGAGAGAGAGAGCGAAAGAGAAAGAGAGAGAGAGAGGGGGATACGAAACACGAAACGCATATCAGAGTGAGGGGGCCGAACGGTCATTCACTCTCCCTGGGTGCGTGGCTGAAGTGAAACTCCGCGATGCGAATTCGCGTTGTTTGTTGTTTGTTGTTCGTCGTCGTCGTCGTCGTCCTAGGTTGGTCGCGGGTGGGTCGCGGCGCGGGTGGGTCGCGGGCGGGTTGCGGCGCGGGCGGGTCGCGGGTGGGTCGCGGCGCGAATGGGTCGCGGGTGGGTCGCGGCGCGGGTGGGTCGCGGGTGGGTCGCGGCGCGGGTGGATCGCGGGTGGGTCGCGGCGCGGGTGGGTCGCTGGCTCCGCGCCAGCCCGCAGTGGTGGCCCAGTGCCTCAATGGGTACATTAGGCATTACACCCACGTGAAGAGCATTACGCCCAAAGAAAACCAGCGTCATGCTGAAGAAAGCAAGCGTTGCGCCTTAGTCGCACCCCTGGGCATTACGCCCATGTGAAGAGCTGCACGCCCAGCGTTTTAGAGCATTACACTCATCCTCCTAGAGCATTGCGCTCTTATCGCCTACTGCTAAAAGCAAGAGCATTACGCCCTGCTGTGGCTCCTCCCCTATCATCCTCATCCTACACAGGCATTGCGCCCTTGACTACACCCTGGGCGTTGCACCCGTTTGGAGAGCATTGCGCCCTGATCGATTTGAGTATTACACTCCAAACTGGTGCGCCCTGCTGATTATCCTCCTGTCGTCGCCTCTCCTCCATGAGCCCGCGCGCGGGTGGCCTGCCTGTGGGCGGTGGCGGACGGGGGTGGGAGGATCCTCCTCCTCCTTATCCTCCTGCTCCTCCTCCTCCTCCTCCTCCTCCTCCTGTGAATTGCACTCCGTACAATGTGTTTCCAGAGGTGTTTCTGACTAACATGTTAAAGCAAGCGCCCCCCCCCCCCCCAAAAAAGCAGCGTAGCAGCATGTGTAAAGCAGGCATGGCAGTAAGCAGGATGCACTGTGCCGTTTGTGCTCGAGAGGCCTCTCGACTGACCAGAAACGCTATCTTCACCCTTCCCGTACGCAGAGCGATTATGGACCAGGATGCTCGAGGAGAAGTTGGCAGGTTTCGGACTTCGATTCGAATACGATTGGAGACTTAGAGTGCTTCGACCGATTCACATTGGTAGCGGAGCGATCTATTCACGGACCACAGTTATCACCCATGGGACCGCCTGGCGGGGGACGCGGCGCAGCAGGGCGAGATGACGGACAGCCGCCAGCGAGTTTCATCGGCAGAGCCCCAGAGTTCGACGGCTCGATCGATGGCTACAGGACGTTCGGAAAGAAGGTGGAGATCTTCGCGGCAAGAGCTCGCGGACGCGAGCAGGAGAAAGGAGTAGGGCTCAAGATAATGCAAGGCCTGTGTGGCCGAGCGTGGGAGGTGGTCGAGGATATCGAGATCGGTGAGATCGAGAAAGAGAAAGGCTGGCAGACCATCATCCAGGCGCTCGACCGGGCATACAAGTATGATCAGATCACGGAACTCCCGACGGACTTTGAGAATTTCTTCTTCAAGGCAGCCCGCAAGCCCAAGGAGACTCTGATTGACTACTTGACGAGGTTTCGGACATCAGAGCGGAAAGTGCGAGCACACGACGTGACATTACCAGACAAGGTGCTCGGCTGGTTTCTATTGCGGAGGGCCGGGCTCGACAAAGAGGGCAAGCAGCTCATCGTGAACCAAGTCGGCGACAACCTCTCACTGGACAAGGTCGAGGGCGAGATGAAGAAAACGTTCGGCCTAGACTCGATGCCAAGCTATCGAGCCAGTTCTGGAGCGGCAGCCTACCACCTGGACGACTACGAGTTCGACGAGCAAGACGACGTCTACTACGGAGGCGACGACGAGGAGCACTACTACGATGACTACGGCGAGGACCACCAAGAGATGGGCCCCAGCTTCGACTCGGAAGCGGCCTACTACAGCGAGACAGTGATGAACAACCCCCCCATGCCAGACCAGGCGTACGACGTAGACCACTACGATGATATAACGGCAGCATACACCGACGCGAGACAGAAGATGAACGACATGTGGTTGGCCACAGGTTTCTACCCAGTCGTAGCGATGGTACCGCCACCGACGAGGAGTACGGCAGCAATAATACCCTCGCGAGCTTCTGCCGCTGGCAGAGGTCGAGGCGCGGCGCGAGGCGCGTCCCGAGGGCGAGCTACAGGAAGAGGTTCGACGGCTTCGAAAGGACGCGGCAAGACAAACTTTGCCAGCAGCTACGGCAAGGGTGCAGCAGGACGTGGGCCACCTCACCCACCACCGAGAGCGACAGAAGAGACGATATGCCTACGATGCGGCGCTCGAGGTCACTTCGCCAAGGACTGCCCCCACGCGAGCAGGAAGAGGCAGAACGTCGGCGACGATTCCGCAGAGGCGCGGATGGTCACGGACGAGGCGGAGGACGGGTACGTCTCGACCGAGCTCAACCCGTCGGAGGCGATACACGATAGTGGGGCGACCAGCGTTATTGTGGGACACGAGACACTCAAAGGATATTGCAAGCAGCTGGTCGCCAAAGGATTTCTAGTCAGCAAGATGAAGTTTTTCCCGTGCTCCAAGAAGTTCAGGTACGGCAACGACTCGACCGGCGAGGCGACGGCGCGTGCAGTTGTGCCGTCTTTCCCTGGAGGCAAGTTTGTGGAGATTCTCACGTATGTGATTCCTGGCAACACGCCATTTCTGTTTGCCAGGCCAGTGATGGAGGAGCTCGGGATGGTCGTGGATTTCAAGAATAAGAGGGCATGCTGGGACGGTGACGGCAAGTGGTTTCAGCTACGCCAGCAGCCCAGTCGCGGCCACTTCATCATCGACATGCTGGAGAGTTTCGATACGTGTATGAAGGACCGCGCCGACCAGACCCTACTGCCTCACAATATGTTGGACCACGTGCGCGTGCAGCACCCGATCAGTCCCTACACGTTTCTTGGAGACGAGGTGCTGGCGCATGAGAAGTCAGTGGACTTTATCGGCACGATGGTCGAGATAGACAACACGGCCGACGCGACAGAGGAGAACAACTACATCACCAAGGACCTCAACCTGAAGCAGCTGCGCAAGTGCCAGGAGTCCGTAGACACGGCCGCCAAGGGGCTGAAGCATGACCTGAGCAGGGCGAAGGACATCCAGAAGGCCAAGCGCAGGATATGGGAGGTCTACGGTGGCACTTCGGAGCTGACAAAGGAGCTGAGAAGGCGCGGACATCAGGCAAGGACGCTCGGGATGCACAGCGGCTGGGATTTCAGTAAGATTGCTACGCAGAGGAAGTTTCTCGACCTGGTCGACGAGGACCAGCCGGACGACATCTGGATGAGTCCCGAGTGCAAGCTCTGGACGCTGATGCAGGAGCGAGGCTGCAAGACGGACGAGGACAAGCAGAAGTTGCAGCAGCGGCGCTCGGACAACCATCAGACGCACCTGATGTTCTGCAAAGATCAACCTCAAGCAGTGGCAGGCTGGACGAGACGCACACTTGGAGCAACCCTCTACGGCACGAAGCTGGAGGACGAAAGCACTATGCGAGTTGCCTGGACACCATGTGCTTTTCGACCAGTGCATGACAGGATTGGAGATTCCAGGAGAAGGCCTGGCAGAGGAGGACTGGCAGAAGGACTCTACGAGTACCAGTGCGACAAGCAGCACGAGCATGTCCACCTGGAAGGCAAAATTCCAGGTACCAACCTGCACCGCGCGAGTTTCGCCGAGAACTACGGGACCCTGCTGGCCAAGATCCTCAGCGATCTGCTGGAGCAGCCCCCCCCTCAGGACTCGGATATCCTAGCGCTGGGTCTCGAGGAAGGCGAGGGCGCGGTGGGGTATATTTACCGCGCGACGGTGGGCAGCAGCAGCAACGACCCGAAGGAGGCGTACCAGAACCGGCTGCTGAGGAGCGAGTTCGGCCAGAACGTGGTCAGGTATGTGGAGCGCCTCCACAAGAACCTGGGCCACCCGAGCACGGAGGTCTTCGTGCGGATGCCGACGGCGGCGGAGGCGAGAGAGGAAGTCATAGCGCGTGCGAGGAGGTACATATGCGCGACCTGCGCAGAACGGAAGAAGGCATCCCAACCGCCGAAGTCGGCACCACCATCCTGGAAGACGTTCAACCAGGCAGTCTACTTGGACTTTTTCGAGTTCAAGCTGCGCTCGGGCTCGGCGAAGATCGCGCACATGCTGGACGGAGCTAGCCGTTTCCAGAAGTGCCGAATCGTGGCGCGCGAGACCTCAGCCGAGGCCATCAAGTCCATCGAGAAGGCGTGGATCAAGCACTACGGGACCCCGACGAGGCTCGTGATGGACGAGTGCGGCGCGGCGCGCGGTCAGGAGATGCTCGACTGGGCCAGCAACCAGAACATCAGGATGCGGATTGCCCCTGGCGAGGCTCACCACGTCTTGGGACCAGTTGAGCGAGCTCATCAGGTGACGCGTGAGACGCTGGAGCATTGGTTCGAGGAGACTGGTCTAGAACGCACCATCGAGAACCTGAAGTCGGCGCTGGACTACGTACCCAACCAGATCAACAGGATGATGCACCACAAGGGCTTCAGTCCAGCGCAGTGGGTTTTGG